TTGAGATCCAATTTGCATGGTTGCAAACAATTCTTTTTAGGCTTAATTAATGACAATTTTGATCTTAAACTTTGTTACAACATTCATAATTGTTAAGATTATTTGCCATTAAACCTTTTCCTTCATGATGGTCCCAAGAAATTTTTTTATAGAAATCATATAATTATTATATTATGTGATATTATAAATTTATAATATGATATATAATTATTTAATTAATTTTTTATTTAAAAATTTATTTATAATATTATATATATACTTATATTATACTTTTTTTTGTCAGCCATACGTCATACTAATATAATATGTAAAATCATAAATTTTGATGATATATTATGATTGTAAAACAATCATTCATGGTCCTGAAATTATATCGACCAAAGTTTTTTATGGACCCATATCATTAAATGCGTCTCATTCCAGAGCCTTTGCCTTACCACTTGGGCAATACCTTTATTGGGTTTTTGACTAGGATAAAAATTGTAGTTTCTGCGGTACAATACAGGCAAGTTGCGTTAGCAATCCCTTAAAAGATTATTATTATTTTTTTTTAATAGTTTACAATTTGGAAGATTGGAGGTGAAAAATTTTCAAGGTAGTGGTAGGATGTGAAATCTCTATCAACTAATCAAAAAATTTTAAAATTTAGTGACAAGCCACTTGGATCTGAAGATCCTTTTCCCTTAAAAGATTAATTAATCATTATGTAAGTGAAAATTTTTATATAACTTAAACAGGCATATATGCGGGATAAGGGGTTAACAAAATTTTAATTGTATATAAATTAATAATAAAATGTGTCATTTTCTTATTTATTTTTTTTTTTTTTTTTTTTTTATCTTGATTGCATGATAGAACACAATTATTTTTCATCCCTTATCACATCTTACTCATATATCATACGATTTGAAGTCAAGATCTTTTATTTTTAGTGAAAAAAAAAAAACCACTTAATTATTTAAGTCGTTGACTTTTTTCATTTATTTTAAACTCATTTGAATCATTATGAATATTCACTTGTGCCATCTAATTTATGATTTAAATTGCCATGAGATCATGTGAAAAAGCCGGTATATTTTGATGAAAAAGTCACCAATAATTGTATCTTATAATATAATTTTATAAATCTTACATAGTAAATTAATTAGCTCTTTTTATTAGGTTTATCAAATTTTATTGTAAAATAAAACTATGAGTGAATCAACTCTAACAAAAAGAGGTTAAATCTAAAATACATAATAATTTATCATAAATTTCAATGGTGTGGTTCAATAGTTAAACTTTTGAGATTTTAAATTAAAAATCTCATATTCAAGTTTTTAGTTGGGTGAAAAAAATTTTGAAAATAGAAGAAGACTATCCTATTATGTAATTCATAATCAAATATACAAAATTAAAAAAAAAAAATCATCATGAAAATTGTAGTCGGGCAAAATTAGACTTTTTTTTTTCTCCTAATTAGTGATTTAAAAGAAAAGTTAAGAAGATTGCCCATCAAAAAACAAATTGCAACATTACATCGGAAACATCATTTGCACCTTTACAAAAAGAATACAAGCCATTTCTCACATTGGACAACACAACACTGTTTGAAGGCGGAGGAGGGTACAATCTTAAGTCCTCATTCTCCCCTCTTTTAAATTCTGTGAATTGGGTACATGCTCCACCAAATACCAAACCACTAACTACCACCACTTTTTATCTCTCCTTAATTTGGAGAGTAATATAACGGCATAGAATACCCATTACAGAGAAAAGGGTAAGGAGAGGAGAAAGTCAATATCATGAAGAGAAAAGGTGGGGAAGAAAAAGCAAATAATTTCAGAAGGCAGTTCGAGATCCATACCGTTGTGTTTTGAAAAAGTTGGAATATTTCATTTCCCTGCAAATCGAAAGAATAATGTCAGTATGGCCAAGAATCCAGGGTCCTGAAAAGACCACAGGAAATGATAACATAAAAAAGTGAGTGAAATGAAAAAAGAAAGATGATCAAAATCCAGAATCTTACCATTTCCCTCAAACACTTTCCTTAAAAAGGCGAAAAAGATGATCACTAGAGCAACTCCGGCAAACAATCCGATGATTACGGCAAATGTCTTCTCACCTTCACTGCTATTCTTATGATCTACAATTGTCCGAAGGAAAAAAAAAAAAAAAAAAACCCAAAAATGAATTGATTTGGGAAATCATCTTAACATTCTTAATTTCACCTTCTAATTGAAACAATTTAAAATTCTCAAAGTGATCTACACAAAATAAACTAACAATTAGAAATTGAAATTTTTGAATTTAAAGTTTTAAGTTTGAGATATATGAAATTTATGATCAATTATCTCTATTGTATGGCAGAAAAAAATCGTCGATCTAAGTATTTTAGAAAGATTTAAGTGGACAAATGGATGTGTAACTTACCCCCATTATGGTCCTGGGAATAATAGTGATCTCCTGACTCTACTTGGCCGATGTAGTACCGAGCATAGCACTTCCCCAAGTACATGTCTCCATATGTCGCCGTTCCACAAATACTCTTCAGCTGTCCGATCGCCTCTGACAGGCAGTCTTGGCATTCCCCGACGTTCAAATCCCCCACACACTGGGCCGACCCCTGAACCTCCCCCGACTGGCCCACCCTAAACGACCCGCCACCACTCGTCAACCCCGCCATCACCTCATCTGTCCGCCCCATTATCTCCGACGCTGCCGACGGCCCACATTTTTTCAGCACCAGAGTCTTATCCTCCACGCCCAAAAACGTCTCGTTGTCATACTTGATATAACACCCCTGCAGCTGCACCGCGCCACCGCACGTGGCGGAGCAGAGGGAACCCACGTGGCTGACCGCGCTGGAGACACAGGTGGCGCAGTCGGGGATGGAGAGGTCGCCGCGGCACTGGTAAAGGCCGTAAACGACGTCTTCTGGGCTGGAGCCGGTGATGGTGTAGTTGTTGTAGGAGGAATAAGCAGCTGAGTTGACAAGAGAGGTGAGAAGGGTGTTGAGGTTTGACTCGTAAGGTGAATCCGGAGCATACTTCTGTTGAGTGCAGCCACCGAAGACGAAAGAGTCGGCTGAGGAAGATAGAGTGGGAATAGTGAGGGAAGAGATGGAGAGAATAAAAAAGAAGAAGAAGAATGGAAGTAGTGAAGATGATGTTGCCATTGCTTTGCTTGGTTTGTGCATTGAGAAGGAGGGAGAAAGAGACGAGGGGCAATTAATAAGCAAATGAATCAATCTACCATCTCGACATTACTTGAGGTCATTGGTGAAAGCAAATGTCAACGAGACCTCAAGGGAGATGGAAAATAATTGAGAAATTGGATAAAGACACAACTACAATTTATTTGTATAATTTTTATTAATAATTTTTAAGTGTTATTAAATGAATAAATATATATAATATTATAAG